ATGTGATGTAACTTGCTGCTATTCTTTTGTCACTGGAGACGTTTCCCAGGCACCGCGTCCCCTCGTGATGGCCAAAGTGCCAAAGTTTTTGCACCTGAATTACGAAGACCACTTGTATATCAAGTGAAGTGCGGTGAAATGTGAGAGATGTGTGTTTGGAGATGTACAGATGTTTGGAAGGGAAGAATGTGTGATTCCTATATGGTATTTACTGTATACTGTGTGTGATGTGCTGAGGGGCATTGGGAGTCATGTTTGTGTGTGGAAGGAGATGAGGGAGTGGGAGAGGGGGATGTGTTTGCTCATGCATCTGTGTTTGTGGCTCTCTGAGAGGTTTAGCCTGCAACTTCATGGATCTTTGTGGAAAGACTGATCACTTTGTGCCCATTCTGAATCTCTCTCTCTCCAACTCTCCAACTCCTTTAACAGCTCATTTGATAGAATACAATTCACCTTTCCAAACTAGACACCTCTCCACAGATACAAAATACCACATCTCTTTCACTGGTCACATGACCTGGCTTGCTTGTCAATCGGCCCCTTCCCCAGAGGAAGCTCAGGGTTGCCGTGGGGATGAGGATCCTGATGGCAGATTTGGGGAATCTGAGGCGACGCTACCATGGCAGAGCCTGAGTCTGAGTCTGGGGAAGGGGTACATTGGCTCTTTGAAGCACTTGTTGTTGCAGCTGTTTGATTGTTTTTGTCTCATTCTTATTAATTTTTTTGCACTCATGAGGGAACATTATCTCACACTTCAGTATCTTACCTTACGAACTCACATTTATGTCTAATTTTAACAGTCCAGTTTACTGCAGTAATTTAAACGGGTCATATGATGCTGCTAAAAAGAACATTATTTTGTGTATTTGTTGTAATGAAATGTGTTTATGCGGTTTAAGGTAAAAAAAACACATTATTTTCCACATACTGTACATTATTGTTTCTCCTCTATGCCCCGCCTTTCTGAAACGCGTCGATTTTTACAAAGCTCATCGGTCTGAAAAAGCGAGGTGTGCTCTGATTGGCCAGCTATGTACACTATAGTTTAAAAGTTTGTGATTTTTTTCTTTTTAAAAGAAGTCTCACCCAGGCTAAATTTATTTTGTCAAAGAAGTAAATAAATAAAATAAATAAATACATACATATTCTAAAATATTAAAGGTGGGGTAAGCGATTTCTGGTAGCCAATGTTGACATTTGAAATCACTTAAACAAACACGCCCCTATCCCAAAAGGGTCTCGCCCCTATTTTGATAGCTCCGCCCCACACATACGTACGCAACCCAGGAAACGATTAGTTCAGTGAAACAAAGCAAAACCAATGTTACGCCGTGTCTACACACCGGACGCGAGTGGCTCGGTGCGACAAAATACTATGGAACTCATTATAATCAGTGATGCTGTCTACACCATAGAAATATATACATATCTATGGTCTACACTGGATGCGGCACGACGCGACAAATCTCCGACAGAAAACTGCTGCTGCGTTCTATTCATGACATATTGACACAAATTTCAAATGATTTTCACCGGTCGCTTTGTCGCGTCCAGTGTACTAGACAGACTTTAGTTGTTGCGGCGCAGACACGGTGTTGCTCACCTTCCGCTCCTTGAGTTCTCTCCAGCGCTGGAAAGCTGATCCGATATTTACACGGGTCCTACTTCTTGCCTTAAGCCTTCTTTTGTTCCTCTTTTGTTTTTCATCCACCATCTCTATCTTTCTGTCGCTCGGCTCGCTAATGTCTGTCCCGTGCACTGAACACTCTCTCCTCCACATCATGAGTAGACACGCCCCTTACTGCTGATTGGCCACAAGTTTGATTGGCTAGTCGGCCCGAATCAGTTTTCTAAAGCGTTTTTGAAAAATCGCTTATCCTACCTTTAATGCATTTTAATATAACTGTTTTCAATTATATTATATTTTAATATTTTATTATAATTTTCTATTTTAATTCATTTTAAAATGAATTTTATTCCTTTGAGAGCAAAGCTGAATTTTCAGCAATTATTACTCCAATCTTCAGTGTCACATGATCCTTCAGAAATCATTCTAATAAGTTGATTTGGTAAAAAAAAATCATATTATCAATGTTGAAAGTTGTGCTACGTAATCTTTTTGTGAAAACTGTGATACATTTTCAGGATGAATAGACCGTTCAAAAGAACAGCATTTATTTGAAATAGAAGTCTTTTGTTACATTATAAATGTCTTTACTGTCACTTTTGACCAACTTAATGCATCTTTGCTGAATAAATGTAATAAATTATTCATATTGTTAATTTCTATCAAAAAAAGAACCCCACACTTTTTAACATGATGTATTTCTGAGGTAAACAGGATATTCAGCAAGAAAAAAAGACTTGATTGTATTTGTCTGGAACTGATTGAACCATGAAAGTTGGTGGTTGCAAGGCCTGAGTTAAAAAAAAGTACAAATTAAGAGGGTTTGGTGAAAGTTGCAAGTTGTTTTAGAAGCGGAGCAATTTGAAGATTAAAGGTTAAGAATATAAACATTTTTATTTGAACAGTGTGCATTGAAGATCAGGAATGCGTTTTAAGGCCCCGATCAGACAGAATGTGTTTTTCAGGTTTGAAAACGCGAGGCGCACCACACTGCCTTTTTTTGGTTGACTTTTTTAACTTAGAAAAGAGCAATGCGCTGCTGGTTTTTTGATGTTGTAGGCAACCACCGAATCAGCTGTCCTGTCAGTCTAATGAAGGATTATAGCGCGAGTGTTCTAAAATCTTTGGTTTGGTTTGGATTGCAACTTTAGGCGCTCAGAGCGCTCCAACAAAAACGTGAGGCGCAGCAGGCGAGGCGACAAAAACGCGAGGCACCTGAAGTTGAAAAAAAATAAACTCTGAGCAGAAAAGCGCCTGACGTCATTTGAGTTTTTCTCTCATTGTCCAATCGAATTGGGCCTTCCGTTGTGGTGACGGAAGTTTACGGTGGCTTGGAACGTCAAGAGACTTCAATGATGGAGGAGAAACTTGTGGCAGCTGTAGCTGTATGTTTCTGCTAATATTACAGTTTACTTAACAGTAAACCAAAGATTTTGGAGCGGTCGCGCTATAATCCTTGATCAGACTGACAGGACAGCTGATTCAGTGGTTGCCTAGCAACATTAAAAAAAACGCAGTGCACTGCTATTTTCTAAATTTAAAAAAAGTAAACCAAAAAAAGGCAGTGCGGTGCACCTCGCATTTTCAAACCTGAAAAATTTGTTCTGTCTTATCGGGGCCTAAATCCTTATTGATTAGGAGAGAACCAGCTGGCAACTGTTTTCATTTTAGCTATCATTTTAGTCGTCAGAGAACCATCTGTTTTTGCAGACATGGGTTGTTAATCTTTTGCAAACAGAACAAAAAAACTGGATGGGTTATGGCCATTATTAGACACAAAGAGCACATCTGACTATAAGCTTTGGACAAACAGTGAGACAAGGAACATATCATGACATTGTTGTCCCCGTGACACACTGCATACTTCCAGTGTCGATTGGTGGCAAAGATCAACCAGCTCCACAATTTTTTATAAAAAATGGTGTAAAAGCAATTTTCACTCAGAAATCTAAAAAAAATAATTACAAAGAATTGTCAATAAGTACATTGAGTTAAATGTGAAATTTTGAAGTATATAGATTAAAGTTATATTTTCTATATATATTTTCGAAAAATCATTTTTTACAGTGTACCACTTAGAAGCTGCAGTCAGTAAAATTTTTTTATGTTTTTGAAAGAAGTCTCTCTGTTTTCATAAAAAAATTCAGTAAATATAATAGTTATGAAATACTGTGTTATTACAAGCTACAATTTTACAATTACAGTTTAAGTTAACTATTTTAAATTTGATGCTCTAGAAACACTTCTTATTATCACTGTTGAAAACAGTCATGCTAATTAATATTTTTGCGTAAAACCATGATGCTTTTTTACAGGATTCTTTGATGAATATAAAGTTCAAAAGTACAGCATTCATTTGAAAAATTAATATTTTGTAATATTATAAATGTCTTTACTGTACCTTTTGATCAAATCGATGCATGTTTGCTGAATAAAAGTATTAATTTCTTTAAATATAAAAATCTTACTGACCCCAAGCTTTTTTTTTTATTTAATGGGGTGCCATGAGCAAAAAAAAAAGGCTGATTTCAAACCAATACCTCTGGGGGTTCCTGCACCAGCTGAGCATCTGCCACTGAGTTGAATGGAAATGCTAACAGATAGCCTTCTCCAGGTAGACCTCCTTGGGGCAAATGCTCAGCAGGCTTGTGCGTTAATCCATCTATGAGCGAGATGTGCATGGAAAGAGTCAGACCCAGCACACTATGCAGACAGCAGAAGAGGGAGTAACTTCCTGCAGTGGGTAAAGGCAAATAGAAAGAGAAGATGAAAGACAAACAGAGACAGGAGAGAGAAATGAAGAACAGGTCAGGCAAGATGCTGGAGGGAGCGAACTGTAATATGTACCTTTAGCCGGACCATGGCACATACAAACATGGACTGAAACATAAAGGAAATTCATACTTTGGTTCGGGAGGAAGGTCACTAATATTGACCGCCTTATTGTTATATGCCTAAATGTTCTGAAAGCATTTTGTGATGCTAAGAAATGCCATAGAAAACAGGAAAAGGGGTCAAGGATGTTGACCAAAAGGTGATAGAGTTTCTTTCTACAGTGAACAAAAGGCACATTTTCATTCAGAAAAATGCAAGATGCAATTAAGTCTGACTGTAGTTGCGTGAAGTGAGCAGGAGAGGACAGATTTTTATAGATTGAATGAGTGTGGAAAGGTCTGGCAACAGAAAGCTGAGGAGTCCAGGAACAGAGCAAATGGAAAATGAGTGGAAAGTGAGAGAGGGATTGGGAGGGAGGGGCTGGGGAAAAGGAGGCACGGCCTGCATTCTATTCTGCCTATCACATCCACCACATCCAGGGGCAGGCAATGAGAACTGGTGTAGGAGCGAATGAGAGGAGGAAGAGCGAGAGAGAGAGAGAGAGAGAGAGAGAGAGAGAGAGAGCATGTGAAGGAGAGAGGTAGACGGAGATGTATATTCTCAGCCTGTGGCAGAGAGCTTGGTCGTATCAGAATAGCACAGGACGGTCCTGGTCCAAAGTCTGTTTCGGAGTGTGGGCCGGACAGTATGACGGATTCTGAAGCCAAAGTGAACTCCAAAAAAGCTGGCATTCGGGCTGCTGTCATTCTGATCGGACTACTGCACAAGTCCAGACGGCAGAAGGAGAAAGAGAGGGACAAGGAGCGGTGGGTGAACTTTTCTTTTTCCCACCTCCTAGTTTGACCTGATGTTCAGATCTGGCTGTTGTTACTGGCCTGTGTGCTCTGGTTGGCCTGTGTTTTTGTATGAGGTTTATGGCTATGTAGGTCATTGTATGTACACTTTATACATTTATTGTTGTCCCAGAGTGCGTTGTAATTGGGTCTGTATATAGTAAAGGACTTTTTTGTGTGTGTGGCTCATTTGAGGATGTTCTCGTTGCAAGCTTGTCTTCCTCTTCATATGCCCCAAAGCAAAATTTCAGACGCAGATATTACACTTGTTCATAGCTCAGGATACTTAATGCAGTTCTCAATTATTGAAGTGTCATTGAAGTATCTCAGCTGTTTCTGATGGAGAAATAACAAATAAGACAATTGTTGATATACAGTAAAAGTGAATATAAAATTAACATGGATTGCATTTTTGGTCTTGAAAGAATTTAATGAGAAATGTTTAATTTAATCACAGACTTGGCAAATCTCAGCACAGTTTGAGACATTGTTTTAGTGCTATTTATTTGTATAATTTAAGTTCTCGTTTTATTAATTTATTTTGTAATTTCCTAATTTTTATTCTTTTTTTTTTTAAATATTACTATTTGTTTAATTTATTTTTATTAAAATTTTAGTTTTTGTTTTCAGTTAGTAATTATAGTCCTTCAACTTTAGTTGGCAACATATTATTTTTTAAATTTAATTTAATTTTAATGAACAAAAATGCTTTAAATAATTTTAAATAATATTAGTTAATAATATCAATAGTTGAGAGTCTTCTGAAACTCTGACTTTGTGTGTGACCTGCCCTGCTCTTTGTCTAATCTTATTGCTGTCTAAGAGAAACAGTTAAGATAATAAGAAGATTGCATATGTATTTTTTCTTTCCTGTGTAACCGTCCATGTACAAAGAGTTCCAAGCAAATACAGCTCTGTTAAACAAACAGAGAGTAAATAGAGAGAGAGTGAGAGACAAGAGCGGTAAATAGTTTTCACCAATATCTCCTGGTCAGGGTCATGCAGGTCAGATCGTACAGTATGTGGAAGTAAATCTCCGAGAATGAGACCATGAAACTATTTCTCAGCTATCATTTACTCATCTTCTCCAGTGGTTGTCTGGTCAGTAGCCGTGTTGCACTGTATCAACTGGAATCATTATTGCAAACAGTGGCCCCATTGTAACTTTGTCTAATCATTAATTTAAAACTGATTTGACTGCATACTGACACACACCCAAACTCACTCTTTTACGCCGATGTCGTGCTGCTTGCAACCACACAATACGATTTGTCTTCGTAGGCGCCGTGTGTGTGGATCCATTTGCATAGATCTCATCGATAACTAGCGTGGATACTGACATCACTGCGAGACGGCCCAGCTGGAGTCGCCACTTTTATTCCCTTTAGATCAGTTCTGTCCTGTTCTTCAGCTCAGATGTGCACTCCGTGAGAACAGAGTCTATAAATATAACAGGCTTTTCAGATCTCATGCGTTTGAATGAGTGATAAGTGGGGCATATTTGTAAATGTTCTAATGAGATTCTCCTTGATGGTTGGTCTGTCAGGAAGGTTATTGTTTTAATTGAAAGGTTGATTGCTGTAGTAATTGCATTGTTTTATCTTAAAACTAAAGGTTTGGTACAAGATTCAAGAGCACTTCAGAGTGTAATTTGTTCTCTGATTAGAGTTGATATACATTCTTTGAGTAGGTAAAAAGATATTTTAAAAGCATTTTCTTAATCAGTATCTTTGTCTTGTATTTCAATAAAAATATCACAGAGAATATCCATTGAATAAATGATTTATTTAATTTCTAATATTTCATCTTGATTTTTTGTATTATTTAGTCATTATTAATCTAATAAAATATTTATTATTCGTTTTTACCACGTTGGCAGAGTTTATTGTAAAGATTTAAGAACTTTTTGGGGCATAAAATAAAAAAGGAAATAGTGAGTGCAATGCTTTATACTATTTTCCAATAGGTGGATTGATGATATATTCTCTGAAAATACAATGTCATTTCATGTCATTTTCAGTAAAAAATATCCAATTATTCATAAAACAAGGTAAATCTACTTTCTTAAGATAGACTTATTCACATAAAATAGAATATATTTAATAATTAATATAACATGTCATCATGAATTTTATAATAAAATGTATGCATTTTTATGAAATTAAATTTATAATAGTAGTTCATCTTAAATAATGTATTAATTATTTTTTCTTTACCCCAATGGCAGATTTTATTTTAAGCATTTAAGAACTTATTTGTAGCTTAAATAAATAAATAAATGAGGTTTCATTGCTTCATACTATTTTCCAGTGGGTTAAATTTGGATATATTCTCTAAAAACTAGTCTTAATATCTTAATATCCTCAAGTACATTTATTTAATTCATTGTTATCTTTTGATATTTTTACTGGAAAACAAGACAAAAATGCTTAACATGATAATATTTACATTGTTTGTTGTTTGCAGTCTCTCTACCAGTTTGACTAGTTTTATTTTGGTTATTAATATTTCGTTATTTGACATGATGTTCCTCTTCCATTTATCTTAGCAAGTGCTGCAAGATGAGAGCAGCAGCGAAAGCATTTCTTCATAAGTTCATTAAGCACCAAAGCAAATGTTTTTCTGGTTTCCTGTTTCATTTACTGAAATCTAATTTTCTCCACCTTCATCACTCATTTCTCCCATGATCCTGTCTCCTGCAGCTCGCATGAACTGCCTTCACCTCCTGACTCATTCAGTTTCCATCACACTTTATTTTCCTTTAGGTTTTTTCACTTTCCTTCTTCACATCGTTTCTTCACGTGTAATTTTGAGCCCTATGCACCTCCGCTGTGCCCTTCCCCCTTACTTCCTCTTTGCTCAGTTGTTTGCTCCCCCCCCCCCCCCCCCCCAGAAAGCGTTTTTGATTAGCAGCTGTGTGAAATTAAACTAAACTAGGTCACCTTTTGCCCTATGTCTCGCTTATAAACATACAAAGACTCAAAGTCCTTTAGGTCAGAGGATAAGATTCCTAACATAAGATTCCAGTTCAGTTCCTCATTCAGTACCACAGATGCATCATCGTCTGTAACTGTAAGAGCGAGTCATCGTGAGTATACCTGGAAAAAACATGTGGCTCATTCATCCAGAAGAGGCCGTAAAACAGACCTCTAGCTGCCAGCACAATGGCAAAGCACACTCAGTGATATACACACAGTATGTCATAAAAACTCAAACTAAAGGGCTCAAATGGCAGCACTTTGGGGAAGTTATGGATTATGATATAATCATGTTCCTTATCAGTCCTGCTAAACAGAAACATTAAATGGACAGAATATTGCTTCTGAAGCTCCATGTACATTTTGTGATTTACAGTATACTTTCATACAAAGGCAAAATGCAGTCATTTTGTCAAAGAGCCAATAAGTGTGTCCATAATGAAAAAAAGGAAAAGTCGGTAACACTTTACATTAAGGTTCCCTTTATAAAGGGTTTATAAAGGTGTTAATAAATGACTAATAACTGCATTATAAATCATTGATATACAGTTATAAATGCATGAATAAAAGGGTGATTTTGATGCAATACCTGCCAAATAGTGAGCCATTTTTAACTCACATGTTATAAATGCTTAACAAATATATTTATTAGTACTTATTTCACTCAAAACCAGATTCCTGATTTTATTCATGATGCAGCAAAAATTTACTATTTTAGCAAGACTGAAGGGTGTTGTATTTATGGTTTTCTCATTTATATATCATGACTCGTGTCACTTTTCTTACCAGAATCTACTCTGTACCTTACCCATGACTCTCCGCAAAAGTTCATGATGCCTATCCACAGCAATGATTAGAAACTGATATATTTTGTTTATCAAGATGAAATTATCATCTTGATTTTTATTTTGGGGGAAAAATCATAAAAGCACACCCATGGCTTGATGAGATATTAATATTGAAAATTTTAATTCCAATATTTCCTGTGAACTTTAATGTAATGAACCATTATTTAATGATTTATAAACATTAATAACCTACGAAAGTGCACCTTAATGTAAAGTGAACATCTGTGAACCAGTTATTAATGAGTTATAAATGTTAATAACGTCTAAAAGTGAACCTTAATGTAAAGTGATCACCTGCGAACCATTTATTAATGATCTATAAACGTTAATAACCTGTGAAAGTGAACCTCAATGTAAAGTGAACATCTGTGAGCCATTTATTAATGAGTTACAAATGTTAGTAACCTGTGAAAGCAAACCTTAATGTAAAGTGATCACCTGCGAACCATTTATTAATGAGTTACAAATGTTAGTAACCTGTGAAAGCAAACCTTAATGTAAAGTGATCACCTGCGAACCATTTATTAATGAGTTACAAATGTTAGTAACCTGTGAAAGCAAACCTTAATGTAAAGTGATCACCTGCGAACCATTTATTAATGAGTTACAAATGTTAGTAACCTGTGAAAGCAAACCTTAATGTAAAGTGATCACCTGCGAACCATTTATTAATGAGTTACAAATGTTAGTAACCTGTGAAAGCAAACCTTAATGTAAAGTGATCACCTGCGAACCATTTATTAATGAGTTACAGACGTTAGTAATCTGTGAAAATGAACCTTAATGTAAAGTGAACACCTGTGAACCATTTATTAATGAATTACAGACGTTAGTAATCTGTGAAAATGAACCTTAATGTAAAGTGAACACCTGTAAAACCATTTATTAATGAATTACAGACGTTAGTAATCTGTGAAAATGAACCTTAATGTAAAGTGAACACCTGTGAACCATTTATTAATGAGTATTAAACATTAGTAACCAGTCAAAGTGAACTTTAATGTAAAATGGACACAATAATTATTTATTTATTGATTGATTGATTATTGCACACACAGAAAAGTTAGTAAAAAAGTAAAAAAGTTAGTATTTTCTGGTAAAATAAATGTTATTGTTGTTGCACTACATCAGCAAACAACTTTCAACT